CCAAAAGTTGTACTTTTGTAATTTATATTTATTAAATAAATGCATAAAAATAAATATTTAATTAATATTTATCAATTTAACAATAATTAATAATTTATTAATTAATTATTAATAATTTGATGATAATTAAATTAATAAATATTTAATATTAAAATAGCACTTTGACCTCAGAATCAGCCCTTAAGGCATTTTTTTTCTGGCTGAAAATCCCATGAGAGCTTTTCAGGCATGGAAAGCCAAGACACTGTGGCAAAAATATGTGCTACATGAAGGATCTCCGTGAATCAGACTCCAGTGGAAAGATGGGCCAACAAAGAAGGACATACTTTTCTCTGAAGTGAGGAGAGAACCTCCACATTGCCTTTGGCCTTGCCTAAATACTGACTGAAACTTTGGTCTCAAAATGATTCCATAGCCCAGACAACTCATGGCACGAGTCAGTGATCATGTAACCACTGATGTCACACATAAGAGTGTTAATTGTTAACAGCGGGAATCACTGTGTACTTACTCCCCATGCAGGATCTCTGTCCTAAATGAGTCATGCTATGAGATTTAACTGTAACACTTGTTCTCAGTTTTATATATTTAGTTTGTACATGTGTGTAAATAGTTGAAATCTTTACTTAGTTTAGAATTGGTCTTCTGCATATAAAGTTAATTAAAAATGAATCTTAAGGGAGAATAAGACTGGGAATGGGAGCGGGAAGAGGAAGGGGGAGGCAGTGGGGGCTGGGAGGGTGGGTATGTGTGAAGAATCACTGTATTCCTAGATGTTTCATGAAATTTATCCCCATCAAATAAAAGGTTTCTAAAAAAAATAAAGTTAGTGATGCTACCTTTGATTTGAAATTTATGAAAAAGATCAGATTAACTCCATGAATGATTTTATTATTATTAAATGAAGTCAAACTATATCTGTATTTAATAAGAATGAATATTAAATGCAGTTAAGCACAGAATTATTCATAGGTGTATAAAACTGATTGAAAATAGATCCCAGTTAAAAATAAAAGTGGGAGGGGCTGGTGCTGAGAGGTACCTGGTAAAGCTGCCTCCTGCAGTGCCAGCATCCCATAGAGGCACAAATTTGAGTCCTGGCTGCTCCATTTCTAGTGCAGCTCTCTGCTACTGCCTAGGGAAGCAATGGAAGATGGCCCAAGTCCTCAGGTCCCTGCAACCACATGGAAGACCCAGAAGAAGCTCCTGCCTCCTGGCTTTGGATCAGCACAGCTCTGGCCATTGTGGCCAATTGGAGAGTGAACCAGCGGATGGAAACCCTCTTTCTCTCTCTCTCTCTCTCTCTCTACCTCTCTGTGTAACTCTGAGTTTCAAATAAATAAATAAATTTTAAAAAGAGTGGGAATAAGGGAGGGAGATACACAGTTTGGCACACATTCCCATGGGCTTACCTATAAGGGTAAAGCCAAAAACTTGCTATGAGACTCTAAATCTCATTAAGCTGGGTGGTACTAACACCATCTTACATGTTAAAGTGATCATATTAAGTGTCTAATTGATCATATAGACAGGAGTAAGCATCCAAGGGATCACATACATAAGACCGAGTGTCTGCTAATAACAACAGATAGAATTAAAAAGGAGAGAATGTTCCAACATGAGCAGCAGCCCACAAAGCAGATTCATAGAATGACAAACACCTAAATAGCACTCTGATCTCAGAATCAGCCCTTAAGGCATTTATTTGGTTCTGGTTGAAAAACCCATGAGAGCATTTCAGGCATGGAAAGCCAAGACACTGTGGCAAAAAATGATCTACACAAATAATCTTTGTGAATGAAACCCCAGTGGAAAGATGGGCCATCAAAGAAGGAGGTACTCTTCTTCTAGAGGTAGGAGAGAACTTCAAAATTGCTGTGTTCCTGTCTGAAAACTCATGGAGTTTTTGGACTCAAAAGACTTCCATGGCCTTGGCAGCTCATGTCAAGAGCCTCAGGTGATCACTGATATCATAAATAAGAGCACCAATTGTTAAGTCAACAACAGGAGTCACTGTGCACTTACTCCCCATGTAGGACCTCTGTCCTTAATGAGTTGTACTATGAGAATCAACTGTAAAAACTTGTTTTCAAACAGTACTTCATACTTTGTGTGTCTATGGGGGTGAAAACAGTTGAAATCTCTACTTAGTATAGAGTTGGTTTTCTGTACATAAAGTCAATTAAAAACAAATCTTTATGAAGAATGGAATGGGGGAAGGAGTAGGAGATGGAATGGGAATGGGGATGGGAGGGCAGCTATGGGGGGAAGAACCTCTATATACCTAAAGCTGTACATATGAAATTTGTATTCATTAAATAAAAAATTTCTTTTAAAAAATAAAGTTATGTTTGAAGATGTTATGAAAAAATAATTTGGTGAATCAGAAGGGTTACTACTCAGAATACACGATTCTAGGCACTTTTATAGGCCATTAAATTTTATGCTTAATAGTTAAAAGCTCCAAACTATTAACATAAAGATTCATCTAAAAACATATATTTTCAACTATATCATGAGAGAAAAATCAACACAGAAATGAGTCATTTGCATTGATTCATTTAAATCAATGGATATGTACATAATAAAGGATGAACTACATAAACATAAAGATTAAGTAATTCATTCAATAGTTTAATTAAGCATAGAAATAAATTAGCAACATTTTAAAAAGGAAATAAAGGATAAATTGCCTTTTTAGAATCCAGATATAAGTGTTTAAATAGAAAGATACAGTAGGTATAAATTTTTTTGTTACATGCCTCATGGCAGGAATCCTGCAGATCTAATTTTCTGGGCACTGTAATGACAATAGAAACCATCAAGTAAAGTGTAATCATAGCAAGTGATATGTACCTACATGTACATTGCATGAAGATCATTTAAGTTAACTCATAATTTTAATAAGAAATCCAGGATTATTTTTGTAGATTCATGGAGGTGATAATGAGGAAAATGATGATTGAAGATAAAATCCTGAATTAGATAAATAATCCTACCAATACTAGTTTAATGTTATAGCAATACCATAATTTTGGACTTGTATATAGGTACTATTCTTGCCAAGGTAGTGTAATATTTTATAAGTTTATGAAAATGTGAAATTAGGTATAAAATATTACAATTTTTATATTCCACAAATTATCATTACCTTATAGTACAGTGAGGAAGAGGAGTGTATTCCAAAGAAAAAGAAAAAGATATTTCTCATGAAATACAGTTGTCTACTACAAAAAAGTCTATGTGAAAAATTATGTTGTATACTCTTGAAAATTATACTATTGGGTGACAATATTGTATAATATAACAACTTACAGTGAACAAAGTTAAAATTCATAAATGCTATTATATTCATTAAATACCTAATAAATTGGAGGAAAATTTTGAGGACTCCCAACTACAAAAATAAACCAAGAAAATGGTCCAAGGAAGGAACCAAACTAAGAAATAAGTTCTCCATTCATATAAGATTTATCAAAAGAGATGACAAATCTATTTGGGTTATTCAAATTAGAGAGATCAAAAGGAATTAAAAATAACTAAATTCAAATATTCCAAGGCTGTATCTCATTCATATGAGAAACAATCTTTCTATTATTTTTCAGACAAGAAATAACCTACCACAATAAAATTCCACAACACAGAAGCTTCAGACATAGGGATGGTATTTGTAAAATATAAGTCAATACAATGGAGATGGAGGAATCACAAAAAAAAACATGAAAATAACAAGAAATTATATGCATAAAATACATACTTGGAAACACCAAGTAAATAACTGAAAATGTAGTTAACCTACTTAATATAAAACATGTTAAACAATAGACTGAGTGGAAAAAAGGCTACCGAATTGTCATATTGAGCACAATCTGTGCAAATACAGTAAAAAAAGAAAATAGAAGTTAGAAAATAAATCTACATAAAGAAATGTAAAAATGAGACAGAATTATATAATGTAGCTGTCTCTCTGGCTATACAAAAGAAACAAAAAACAATAGTCTAATTACTTATATAAATTTACAAAATTGACAAGGCACAAATCCATGAATTCAAAAGTTTAGTGTGTCAAAAAGTGAAAGTTTAATAAAAATACTTAAATCATTTCTATACTTTATAACAGCAGAGGAAGAAAGGACTCACATAAGTGAGAAAAGAAGGATGATAACCTACAAAAACAAAGCAAAATTCTCACAGTTTGTATAGTGTCAAAACAGAAATAAATATTATCAGATCATAGAGAAACTGTCATTACAGTTAGAATTGAATACTTAGTTAATATACTTCAATAAACAAAGGTAAATTTAGATTCCTTTCTTCAGTAAGAATATCATTTCTTGAATTCTTAATGAAAGATTTTGTGATTACATACCGAAAGGAGCTTCATTAGGTTCACATTCCAAAAAGAAAAAGAAATGTTTTCCTACATTAAGTTAGGAAAGTGTAAGAAAAAGAAACTTCAATATATAGAGACCATTGAACTAAGAGAGGCATATAATCTTTGGCAGTGTCAAAGTAAAGAAAATATTTAGTACATATTAAAAATACCAGTAATGGGGTGGTTCTGTGAAGTAACAGGTAAAACTACCACCTGCACTGCCAGCAACCCATATGGGCACCAGTTCAAGTCCTGGCTGCTCCACTTCTAATCTAGCTCTCTGCTATGGTGTGAGAAAGCAGTGGGAGATGGCCCAAGTCCTTGGGCCCCTGCACCCAAGTGGAAGACCTGGAAGAAGCTCCTGGCTCCTGGCTTCAGATTGGCACAGCTTCTGCCATTGCAGCCATTTGGGGAGCAAACCAGTGGATAAAAGACCTCTCTCTCTCTCTCTGCCTCTGCCTCTCTATAACTCTTCCTTTCAAATAAATAAATAAATCTTTTAAAAACACAAGTAAAATTCTACGTATTTAAATTTTATTTTAAAGTCTTAGGTTTTAAAAATATTTAACAGATGCTAGAATTTCTTTTCAGATTTTTTCATCAACTTGTTAAAATTGATGTCATATCAATCATGTTTTTGAAAAATACCAATTATTCTTTTATCAGAACTAATAAACACCAAAGGACTAGCCATGGCATAGACATTAACCACAAGTCTCTGGACATCCCATATAACTGGATCATATTTTCCAAATATGGTTGAGAAGGATGAGATGATGATATCTAAACAGTACATTATCACAAAGAAACTAACCAGCAGCAAGACAGTCTGGGTGGCCCTTTTTGCTGGGGAGGTTCTTGGGGTAATGCTTGTGCTGTGAAGGTACTCAGACCTCCTCTCATGGCTTGATAAGAAAATCACCATGTATGCACTGGAGAGCAGCATGATTCCTACAAAGACGACATTCTGGGACAATGCAAGTGTCAAAAATATTTCCATGATGATGGGTTTCATTGAGGAAAGTGAGCAGTACATATTGATATTGAATAAATTAGTCATGTTGGAATGAGCTACAGTATAGATGATCATGTTACTATTGGAAGACAAGTTGAGGGACCAAAAACAGAAGAAAGCATAGCTAACATAATTTGTGAGTTTATGTTTAAATCTTGACAAGCAGAAGGTGCTGGGGCTGATGGTGATGACCTGGATGATGCTGAGGAGGCAGGTGGTACAGATGGACAGGCCCCTCATCACCCTGCTCATATAGAGCAAAGCCTTACATTTGAAGTCATTTGGAAAATTCAGCGACATGAACATGTCTGCAGATAATGTATCCAATGCAGTGAGTAGCATCACTATGTGAACAAAAGCCAAGTGGCAGGTGGTCAAATCAGTGGGCTTAGGCCTATGATTCTGGTAGATGTTGAAGATGTGGAAGAGAAGGAGAAAGGCATTGGCTAAGATTCCAATTCCAGCTTGGAAAAAATACACATTTTTTAGTGACAACATAATTGGGAATTTTGTCATCTTGACAGCACACAGGAAACATTTTAGATACCTGAAAAACAATAGAGACCTCCTATCATCATTGCTCTTTCTTTTTGTCATGAAAATAATTACAAATTATCCTTTTTTATCTTCTTATTTTTAAAAAACAGAATATTTTATAGAAATTCTTTATCATAAAGTTTCTGTACTACTCTACAACAAATGAATTTTTCCATCATTTCCATTTTCTGAACCTTTTTATGACTTATCTATTTGTAGATTTCAAAAACTTTTGCAAAAAAATAAAATTATTTTTAATTTCATTTTTCTGTAAACTTTTTGAAGCATTCAATTTATACATATACACACAGTTCAAACATAAATCATACCCAGAAGTGAATGGCTGAAGTAAAAAATTCCTCTAAAAACACATGACATGTATTAGTTAACAAAGGATATATTTCATAGTTGATTAAATGGTTGTTGAAACATTTGTGTATCAGAACTAAATAACTGATTGCTCCAGAAACATGTGTCTGCACCCTCACCACAATATAAAACCAGGAAAAGCCCCAAGATCATATTAACTAAAGGAGTAACTGTTATTACATTTGAAGGATCATAATCAATTCAATTTCAAGAATATATTGATAAATGGAATAATATCTATGTAATTATTTTGGCTATATTTATATATAATTTTGGTGTTCTACCTCAAACATTATGAGCCATTCAGGAAAAGAGATAATTACAGGAAAGAGAGCAGAAAAGGATTTAAATATTTTCTTCTCCCACACAGTATACTTGGCTGATTCTCATATCCCTCATTGTCATATCTAACTCATATCCCTCATTCTGTAGATGCCCACCGTGCACTGAAACAGACTTGATCTTACAGATCATCAATTGTTCTATTTCCATTGAGGCTCTTGGTAACATGCAGACTGAGTTAGGAAAAATGTGGTTACTGTGGATGATCATTAATAGGCGGACTATAATCATTTACATAATTTCTTTTGAAAACTTTTCAAAATTCCCAAAACTAAGTGATCTACAAAAATATAAGAACCCCAAAATATCACTTACTATTTATTTGAATTTTAAAATTAATTTTGTATCTCATATTTTATGTGAGTAATCTGGCTGTCTAATTATGGAAGGATCACTGAATTCGCAACAATAGGCTACTGACCTGGGAGAAATAGAATACAGGGAAGTTTGAGTGTGGTCACCTATAACTTTGTCAATGTGAAATGGATGTAACTGGAAACCATTATACTTAGTGAAATAACCCAGTCCCAAAAAGACAAATACCATATGTTTTCTCTGATCTGTGGTAACAGAGTACCTAAAAGGTAACCTATAGAATTGTAATAGGCATTTTAAGATTTGATAATTGTTTACAGTCCTTGTCTCAACTCTCGAGGGACAGTGTTTTTCTCATGCTATTTGTTGAAACTTTACTTAGTATAGTATTAATCTTATGCGTATAAAGTTAACTGAAATTACATTTTGTAAAAAATAAGAATGAGGATATGAGAAGGAGAAGGAGGAAGAAGAAGGGTGAGATCATGTGCAGGAGAAAGAGTAAGGTAGAAACTATCAACATGGTCCTGATTCTGTATATAGGAAATACATGAAATTTGAATGCCTTAAATATAATTTTTTTTGACAGGCAGAGTGGACAGTGAGAGAGAGAGACAGAGAGAAAGGTCTTCCTTTTTGCCATTGGTTCACCCTCCAATGGCCGCCGCGGCCGGTGCACTGCGGCTGGTGCTCCACGCTGACCCAATGGCAGGAGCCAGGTGCTTTTCCTGGTCTCCCATGTGGGTGCAGGGCCCAAGGACTTGGGCCATCCTCCACTGCACTCCCTGGCCACAGCAGAGAGCTGGCCTGGAAGAGCGGCAACCGGGACAGAATCCGGCGCCCCAGCTGGGACTAGAACCCGGTGTGCGGGGCCGCAAGGCGGAGGATTAACCTAGTGAGCCACGGCGCCGGCCTTAAATATAATTTTCAAAAATGAATAATTGGGTCCTTTTTTGAACAAAGTAAATGCTTTAAAATCTGAGGCTGAGAGTGAATTCCCTGAGCAATCTCAGGAGACAGAAAGTGTAGACAACATTCCCCCTCTTTATTCTGGCTTTCACTTTATACTCTAAAGTATTTATGTAATTATGAATTATTGTGAGGAAAATATCAGTAATTAAAAGATTGATGAAATCTCTGGTCTTAGATTAGGCATGCACATAAAACAGAAGCAATAAAATGACAGAGGGAAGCCACCTGCACAAATTCAACCATTATTTTTACACAAAGCATGTTTTTTTTTTAACTTTTATTTAATGAATATAAATTTCCAAAGTACGATTTATGGATTACAATGGCTTCCCCCACATACCGTCCCTCCCACCCACTACCCTCCCCTTTCCCACTCCCTCTCCCCTTCCATTCACATCAAGATTCATTTTCAATTATCTTAATATACAGAAGATCAGCTTAGTATACATTAAGTAAGGATTTCAACAGTTTGCTCACACAAAAACAAAAAGTGAAAAATAATAGATGATTTTTTTTAAATGATGATGAAATCAGATCAGACCTATTGTCATGTTTAATCCCAGTGAGAGTCAAGTTGGGAGTTGACAATTTCTTTTCTTTTCTTTCTTTTTTTTTTTTTTTACAGTTTTTTACAGTTTTACAGTTTTTTTTTACAGTTTAGTATACATTAGGTAAAGATTTCAACAGTTTGCACCCCCATAAAAACACAAAGTGAAATATATTGTTTGAGTACTCGTTATAGCATTAAATCTCAATACACAGCACATTAAGGACAGAGATCCTACATGAGGAGTAAGTGCACAGTGACTCCTGTTGTTGACTTTACCAATTGACACTCCTGTTTATGGCATCAGTAGTCTCCCTATGCTCCGGTCATGAGTTTCCAAGGCTATGGAAGTCCTCTGAGTTCTCCGATTCTTATCTTGTTTAGACAAGGTCATAGTCAAAGTGGAGGTTCTCTCCTCCCTTCAGAGAAAGGTACCTCCCTCTTTGAAGACCTGTTCTTTCCACTGGGATCTCACTCGCAGAGATCTTTTGCCAGAGTGTCTTGGCTTTCCATGCCTGAAATACTCTCATGGGCTTTTCAGCCAGATCCGAATGCCTTTAGGGCTGATTCTGAGGCCAGAGTACTATTTAGGACATCTGCCATTCTATGAGTCTGCTGAGTATCTCACTTCCCATGTTGGATCACTCTCCCCTTTATTTATTCCATCGGTTAGTGTTAGCAGGTACTAGACTTGTTTATGTGCTCCCTTTGACTCTTAGTCCTTTCATTATGATCAATTGTGAACTGAAATTGATCACTTGGAATAGTGAGATGGCATTGGTACATGCCACCTTGATGGGATTGAATTGGAATCCCCTGGTATGTTTCTAACTCTACCATTTGGGGCAAGTCAGCTTGAGCATGCCCCAAATTATACATCTCTTCCCTCTCTTATTCCCACTCTTATGTTATGATCAGCATAGCCCTGACTGTTAATGAACAACTTAATACATTATCCCTCTTAGTAGTTTTTTTGTCTGTTCTACTTAATATGACTGGTTTAATTCTGTAATTAATACACAGTTATTCTTAAGTGTTAAAAATTAACTGAAATGTGATCCCTGTTACACAAAGCATGTTTTAAAAAATTATTTACTCAAAAGACAGAAATATAGACCAACACACACACAGAGACAGAGTGACAGAGAGAGAGAGAGAGAGAGAGAGTTATCTTACATCCACTAGTTTACTCACCTCAGATGCTCACAAAAGCTGAGGCTGGGCCTGGCTAAAGACAGGGCTGAAGAACTCCATTTTGGTCTCTCACATGTATATCAGGGACCCAAGTACTTGAGCCATTTTGTGCTACTTTCTAGGTGCACTAGCAGCAGGAGGAAGATGGATCAGAAGCATGCAGTAACCAGGACTTGAACCAACATTCTTATATGGGATCCAGGGGTCCCAAGTGTCAGCTTAACCCACTGAAGCACAATGGTTACCTCAAGAAAAATACCTTTGATAAATGTCTTTTTTCATTTTTATCACAATATCAGTTATTAAAATATGGTTGTATTATAAGTGGTGAATTATGTTATTGGATGAATGATATTTGCAACTGGTAAAGATTTAAGATTATGTTATATATTATAAAATATACTATTTGATTTTCTTACTATGTTAAACACCAATGTTACTTCATCATAAATTTTACCATTTTTATTAGCATTGTAAGAGCTTTGAAACCAATGAAAGCATTAACAGGATAATGAGACTTTCAGATGAACAGATGTTGGGGAGTAGATTGATAACATTCATTGATGGAAATGAGTCAGTTGGCAGGTTCAAATACTTCTTCCACCATGATTAGCTCTACAAAGAGATTTTTTTATAAAATGGGCAAATTCCAGAAGAACAAATAGGGCAACCATCCAATAGCATTGACTGATTGCAATGTGTCACCTATTCCATGGAAACAGAACTTAATGCAGATGTATCTAAAAGCACAGAGTTAAAGATGAGGGTATTAATAATCCAACACATAGACTTTTCAGTCCCCTCAGAAAAATCATAGGTAGCAAAAGTGTCATTACAGAGGTAGAAGGCAGAAACTAGCAGTACAAGACTGCTACATAAGAAATCATACACTGGAGCCAGCATTGCGACACAGCTCATTTATTTATTTATTTATTTATTTTTTGACAGGCAGAGTGGACAGTGAGAGAGACAGAGATAAGGTCTTCCTTTTGTGGTTGGTTCACCCTCCAATGGCCGCCGCGGCTGGTGCGCTGCAGCCGGCGCACGGCGCTGATCTGATGGCAGGAGCCAGGTGCTTCTCCTGGTCTCCCATGGGGTGCAGGGCCCAAGCACTTGGGCCATCCTCCACTGCACTCCCTGGCCACAGCAGAGAGCTGGCCTGGAAGAGGGCAACCGGGACAGAATCCGGTGCCCCGACCGGGACTAGAACCCGGTGTGCCAG